TAGAATCCTTATCTAATTCAGTTTACAAATAATCATGATGAATTGACTATATCTTTTATCTTAAAGTGTAACACGATATAAGTAAAATATTTTTACAGTGTACTAAAATTTTGACACGTGTTCCGAAGGCTTTTTCCGACTGAGCCAAAAGTCTCAATTTATCCCGAAATTCTCCTTTCTTAATATATTAAGATTCTCCTATGCTTATATTTAAATCTCCACTCCCTTGATACTTTAAAGTTCACAATATGTAATTGTCCATCGTATTTTTATGGGTAATGAAAAATTATTTTTTTAAAAATGAAAAATCCCAAAACATTTGAACATAGTCATGCAAATTGGTTATGGATATGTTTGTTAGTATGACTTACACAGACGTGTGATGAAGACAAAGATGCAGTATTTGATTTAGGGAAACATAAAAGAACCAATCCGTTGATAATATAAAAATACTGAATTCAGTTACAGGCAAAAATCCGAAAGAATACAACATATGCGTGGGAATACACAACTGCAACATATATAATTCGAATCTATAATCTATAACCCACATTATAGCAAAAACCAAGTTTTGTCCAAAATTCCAAATGTCACATTATCCTCAAAATTCTCCCAATCCAAAATAAAAAAAAAACCCCCAAAAAACAAAGAAAAAAAAGACGGCCACTATATAGTTCCCAAAAAATAAAAACTAAACAAATAAAAAAACCATCTCCAAATCTATCCATAGTAATCCGAATTATTTGGTTAAACAAAAAAAAAGCTAAAAAATCTCATCTTTTCTTTGGTTTGGATTATCTTCCATAACTAACTCCTAATTTCTATACAAATATTAACTTTGAATTCTTTAAGTAAATTCAACACTTCCAGAATAACAAGAAAAATGCCAATCTTATCAAGTTATACTCCCCAAACCAAGAATAACCTCAATCAACCTCTACCTCCTACAATCTTAATCGATCCTCAAATTTTTTATTTTCTGCACTGAAGTCAGTTTGACAAAAAAGAGTGGAGAAGGAAGGTACAACATTTTCTGTAAAAGGCCGATTGAGATTTCTTTTTCTTTTCCTATTTGTTGATGATTGTCAGCGAAATGATTAGACATGAGATTGTTAACAAGGGCCTAAAGAACTATACACAATGTTAATGTATTATCACCCATAGATCTATCCGAGTGTTTATAATTATAAGAAATGTTTTGTTAAAAAAAAAATTCCAAAACTCTTGTTTTGTTAATGTACTACTCTTTTTTTTAAAAAGCAGAGTATAGAACTTGCAATTGAGGATATTCGAGTGTGTCCGCATTATAACAAAAACCACATTCCTCCCAAAAATCCAAGTGACCATATTTGCTTAAAATTCTCCCATTATAGGAAAAACCAAGTTTTGTTCAAAATTCCAAACGTCACATTATTCTCAAAAGTCTCCCAACCCAAAATAAAAGAAAAACCCGAAAAACAAAGGAAAAAAAGACGGCCACTATATAGTTTCCCAAAAATAAAAACTCCAAAAAAAGAATAAATATACAAATTAAAAAAACCATCTCCACAGTAATCTAACTATACTAACCCCTTTTATAGCAAAAACCAATTTTTGTCCAAAATTCCAAATGTCACATTATCCTCATAAGTCTCCCAACCCAAAATTAACACCCCCTCCCGCCCCCAAAAAATAAAAAAAGACGGCCATTATATAGTTTCCCAAAACTAAAAACTCCAAAAAAAGAAAAACTAAACAAAGAAAAAAGACCATCTCCATAGTATCCGGATTATTTGGTTAAACAAAAAAAAAAAAGGCTAAAAAATCTCATTTTTTCTTTAGTTTTGATTATCTTCCATAACTAACTCCCAATTTCTACCCAAAGATTAACTTTGAATTCTTTAAGTAAAATCAGCACTTCCAGAATAACAAGAAAAATGCCAATCTTATCAATTTATCCTCCCCAAATCAAGAATAACCTCAATCAACCTCTGCCTCCTACAATCTTAATCGATCCTCATTTTTTTTTTTTATTTTCTGCACTGAACTATGTTTGACAAAAAAAGAATGGAGAAAGAAGGTACAACGTTTTCTGTAAAAGGCCGATTGTGATTTCTTTTCCTTTTCCTATTTGTTGATGATTTTCAGCGAAAAGATTGGACATGAGATTGTTTACAGGAGCCCAAAGAACTATACACAGTGTTAATGTATTGTTCACAAGAGCCTAAAGAACTATACACAGTGTTAATGTATTATCACCCATAGATCTATCCGAGTATTTATTAAAAAAATTCCAAACCTCCTGTTTTGTTAATGTACTACTCTTTTTTTTTTTTTAAAAAAAAATACAGAGACAAAGTATAGAACTTACAATTGAGGATATTTGAGTGTGTCCCCATTATAACAAAAACCACATTCCTCCCAAAAATTCAAGTGTTCCATATTTGCTTAAAATTATATCTCATTATAGCAAATACCAAGTTTTGTCCAAAATTCCAAATGTCACATTATCCTCAAAAGTCCCCCAACCCAAAATCAAAAAAAAAAAACCCCAAAAAACAAAGAAAAAAAAGACGGCCACTATATAGTTTCCGAAAAATTTAAACTCCAAAAAAAAAAAAGTAAAGAAATAAAAAAACCATCTCCATTGTAATCTATCTATAATAACCCCCATTATAGCAAAAACCAAGTTTTGTCCAAAATTCCAAATGTCACATTATCCTCAAAAGTCTCCCAACCCAAAATTTTAAAAAAAAAATCCCAAAAAACAAAGAAAAAAAAAGACGGCCACTATATAGTTTCCCAAAAATAAAAACTCCTAAAAAAGAAAAACTAAACACAGAAAAAAAAACCATCTCCATAGTAATAACCCCCATTATAGCAAAAACCAAGTTTTGTCCAAAATTCCAAATGTTACATTATCCTCACAAGTCTCCCAACCCAAAATAAAAAAAAAACCCCCAAAAAACAAGGAAAAGAAAGACGGCCACTATATAGTTTACCAAAAATAAAAACTCCAAAAAAAGAGAAACTAAACTAAACAAAAAAAAAAACCATCTCCATAGTAATCTGGATTATTTGGTTAAACAAAAAAAAGTTAAAAAATCTCATGTTTTCTTTGGTTTTGATTATCTTCCATAACTCCGAATTTCTATCCAAATATTAACTTCGAATTCTTTAAATAAATTCAGCACTTCTAGAATAACAAGAAAAATGCCAATCTTATCAATATATCCTCCCCAAACCAAGAATAACCTCAATCAACCTCTGCCTCCTACAATCTTAATCAATCCTCAATTTTATTTTATTTTTATTTATGCACTATAGTCAGTTTGACAATAAAGAGTGGAGAAAAAAGGTACAACGTTTGTAAAAGGCCGATTGTGATTTCTTTTTCTTTTCCTATTTGATGATGATTGTCAGCGAAAAAATTAGACATGAGATAGTTCATGAGAGCCTAAAGAACTATACACAGTGTTAATGTATTCTCACCAATAGATCTATTCGAGTGTTTATAATTATAAGAAATGTTTTGTTAAAAAAAAATTCCAAACCTCCTATTTTGTTAATGTACTATTTTTTTTTAAAAAAAAATTGCAGAGACAGAGTATAGAACTTGCAATTGAGGATATTTGAGTGTGTCCCTATTATAACAAAAACTACATTCCTCCCAAAAATCCAAGTGTCAATATTTGCTTAAAATTCTCCTCACCAAATTTTCCAAATAAATCTAACAAAAAAAACGTATTAAAAAAGGAATACTAAATTACCCTCAGCATAAAATTTTGGCCAAATTTTAACAAAAATTCCAAGTGTCAATCTATTATTAAAAGTTTTCTGTACAATTCATTTACCCACAACAAAGGTTCAGATTAAAGAAAAGAAAAAAAAAACTGAATCAAAGATAACTCCCCCAATCCGTACTACACGTTCTTTCTCCCCAATAACAAAATTGAGTTAAATGCTCAAAATAACTTCCTCATTTTATTTTATCTTTCAAATTTCCACCTTCTAAAACTCCGTAAAACTTTTCAGCCAATTGCTTCCTCAAGCAACATAGAAAGAGAATGAATTTAGCAAAACATTAGTATTCTTAGACTTTTTATTCATTGGCATGTAACGGTAAGGATTTGATTTTCTTTCTTTTTCCAATTTCGATTTTATATCAATTATGATAATTGAATGTGAAATATGCTTTATTTGTGTTTTCAAAACTTTTGCAATGCAAGTTGCTTTTCTTAGTGGGCACTCCCACTTCTGTTTTAGTTGAAGAGGCAAATTCATGCTCATGCTTCATTCAATACCACTAAAGAATCTGAAAAAAATAAATATTTTCTTTTGATCTTTCTTTTCTATTTTTAGTTCAAAAAAATCCGAAAAAATTGAGACTTGATTTTTGTTGCCGCTATACTACTTTTTTTTTTTTCTAATTTGTTGGAATATTGTTTGAAGTATGCAATGTTGTTGTTCAACTCAAAAACTATTTTATGTGATGTTTCCAAATATATTTATTCGTTCTCAACTTTAATATGAAACTTGTTTTAAGATTTAAAATTATTCAAATTTAAACAAATGATAGTTTAGTAGGTACTCGAGCGAATGCACGATTTCTGAACCTAGTATGAATATATTGTACGTGCTCCCTTTGCATCGATATAAGTAGCTACGATAGGAAACCGCCACGGCCCATGAACGATGCGTCTAAAATAAGCCACACAACCTGTTTCGAACTTAGATTCAGAATTGCAAGTGTTTCGTCGAGTCAAAAGTGGATTATAAGTGGTAACTCTTTCCTTTTCACATCCTCAATCGAATCATCAAAGTCGGTGACCTGTTGATCGATCCTTATATAAATCAATCTTAAGGACACAGACCCATCGATAATATCAAAGGTTTAGCACACAAACAGAAAAATTGTCAGATCGCAAGTAGGTCTTTTGTTCCTTAATTGGATCGCTCCGACGGGATTCGGAGTCATAGCAAGTAGCAGTCGTTAGTTGTTTTTGTCTCGGTAACCATTAATGGCTACCCGCGTTGATAATAACGATGTGGTGAGGTTGTTTCTTCAATTTTGCAAAGAGAATTCTTTGCATGAAACTTTCCAGACGCTACAAAGAGAGTGTCAGGTTTCTCTTAATGCCGTAGACAACCTCGAAAACTTTATTGCTGATATTAAAAGTGGAAGGTGGGATGCTGTGTTACACCAACTCTCGCAACTTGAGCAACCAACAAATTTGCTGCAAGATTTGTATGAACAGATTGTTCTGGAGATGGTTCAACTTGAGGAGAGGGACACTGCACGCGATCTATTATGCCAAACCCAAGTCCTGAGGGCCATGAAAACGGCGCAACCGGAACGATTCTCGAGACTTGAACGTCTGCTTGATCAGCCAATTTTTGACCCCCGGGAGGTCTACCATGATCAGGAACATTCCAGTAATGAGAAAAGGCGTGCTGAAATTGCTCGAGCTCTTTCCTACCATGTCTCTTCGTTTCCACCTTCACGACTGAAGTGCCTTATTGGTGAGGCTTTGCTTTGGTATAGTCAACATCATTTACTTTTGTTCGAAACAAAGTTTGATTTCTTGAGAGGAAGACCTGCTATCATTCAAGATTCTGAAGATACGTGTCCTACTAGGCTTGTACATAGCATAGATTTTGCCAAGTATTGTCATCCGCTGTGTTGTCGGTTCTCACCGGATGGACAATTTCTTGTTTCCGGCTCAGCCGATGGATATATTTACGTTTGGAACCCCACAAAGGGGGAACTAGTCCAATTTGAATATCTCCAAGCTGATATAGAATTTATGACGCATGACGGTGTCCAGTGTCTCGATTTCAGTAAAAACTCTCAGATGCTTGCAACTGGTTCAAAAGATGGTTCAGTTAAGGCTTGGTCGATGTACACTGGTCATTGCTTCTGGATCATTCCGCGCGCACACTCTCAGGGTGTAAAAGCGTTTCATTCTCCCGCACTGGCGCATACGTACTGACTGCATCCCTCGACGGCACTGCGAGAATCCATGATTTTTTGACAGTAAAACTGCTCAAGGAATTCCGCGGTCATACTTCTTTCGTGAACGACGCAAGATTTTCAAAGGACGACTCTCTGGTTATAACCGCATCCAGTGATTCCACAGTCAAGGTATGGGATGCTTGTAGTACTAAGTGTCTGCGGACTTTCAAGTGGGATGGTGCAACCGTGAATTCAATCCATCTTTTCCCGTCAACTCTCGATGACCACATCTTGGTCTGTAACAAAACTTCGTCGGTATATATCATGACGCTTCAAGGGCAGGTTGTGAAAAGCTTCTCATCTGATAAAAGAGAAGGTGGTGATTTTGTGGCTGCTTGTGTATCGTGTAAAGGAGATTACATTTACTGTCTTGGTGAAGACAGGAAGTTGTACTGCTTTAGCTATCAATCCGGGAATTAGAGCATTTGTTACCAGTTCAGGAGGTGGAGGATGTGATCGGGATTGCACACCATCCCCATAGGAATCTTGTAGCCACTTTTGGTCAAGATTGCTTTATCAAACTATGGAAACCTTGAAGTGAGAGTTTTATCATTAAGTAATTCTTTTTTCTTTTTTCTTGCGGGGATAAAATTAACCTATGCAATGTTTTCTTCATTATTAGCATGGACATGGTCGGATACCTTTGCTACTTGCAAAGATAAAATTGAAACAATGAAATCCATACAAATTGAAATAAAAGATAGAATTCAAAGTGTACAATAATTTTGAGACGAAATGAGTAATTTATTAATGATGGTGCAAAGAAACTCAAATATTTCTTATTCCTAGATTTATTCCCAAAACATAATCCACGAACATTTGAGGTTGTAATAAACTGTTGCTTTTAAATGATTATAAGTCAGGTAATGCATTTCAGTCCTCTTAAGAGTCCCGAGTTCCGGCCGATTCAATGAGTTTAACAGCAACAAATAATTTAACGAAATTCAGTTTATCATCTTATTTATTGCAAGCCGGTGGATTTTGACCTGAACCAAACAAAATTTCAATCAACACACGAAATTTCATTAATTTAAGAGTGTTAATGTGATTTCATGTATGCCATTTGCCATATATATGTTTGACTAAACTATCTCATTAGATAGTCTACGCCCTAAGCCAGCATAATAGAGGCGCAATAGAGGGCTTGGATTTCATACTTGCATTGTCTTTGTTTACGTAATTTGTCTGTCTGTTTTACATTAGTTTGAATTCAAATGAAACCCAACCCAATCTTGGAGTAAATCTTCAGTACAGTCACTGTATCACGTCATCTGTACATCTTATAAACAAAAATGGGAAAGGTAATATTTTTATGGGAGAGGGAAAAATTCATGGGATCCAAAAAAACTAAATATTAATCCCTATTGGTTGGTTGCACTAAAAATGTAGATACAACTGATGTATATTAGATTTTCTCTTAATCTTGATGAGAATGAACATCTCAAATAAATATGGTGAGAACTTAACATATTTTCCATATTGTTTAAATAAAATAATACTCATTGGATCTAAAATGATATCATAGTTTGGACATTCTTTGTGTAAATTACGCTAAAAATAAAAATCTAAACTAGACAATAATTTTAGAACGGAGTAAGTAAATTTGATCACAAAAATTCACCTATAATAATCTGAAGAAAGACAAAAATAATCACCAAAATATATAATGCAACAAAATAGCCCCACTGTTTTTCTTGTGCTATTTCCCTCCTTTTTTTTAACTACTTTTTCATAAACATAAAAATGTGTTGTATGGTCTTGAATGAGACATTGTTTATTTTAGTCTCTATTGTGCATTTGTGCACAATTGTAACTCATGTTTGTGTTCATTATATACACATATTTAAACTAATTTTTTTAAACATAATTTAGTAATATAGATAACATTTTGTAGTTCATTTTTCTCTTATCTAGGAAATACGAACATTGAACTTACCAATCAAATTTGCATTTTTTTTTTAAAAAAAGATTCAGTTCCGATAACGAAATAAGTTTTATTAATTAATATATTCTACCAGGTATACATCATGCAACGCCCTCCATGCTGGAGATATGGGAATCGACTACCTCCTCCGCTCACATCAAACCGCCAGCACAAAAGATCTCCCTTAACACCTTGGTCAATGTAAATGGCATCCTGGTCTTCTTTGATGGTGCGACAAACACGAGTAATAATTCCTGTGGAATCGGAATTCTAATATGGAACACCACCACTAGATTCCAAAAATGTCTTGCGAGGGGACTGTCATGTTTTTACACCTCAATAGTTATAGAACGCCTAACTGCTAGGAAGGAATTGCCTTCGCTCTAACACTAGGCCTCACTCAGATAACACTGGTGGGTGATTCCTCAACCATAATTCAAGGCTTAGACTGGGACATAGCAGGCTTATCAGATTCAAAATACATTCTGGCTAATATTAAAGTTCTGTCTGAAAATTTTCTAAGTTTTGACAGCCATTTAATTAGTCGTCGATTCAATCTTTATGCTCACTCCCTGGCCCAATGGGCAAAGCATGACCAATTTTGAAAAACATTGGGACATTGTGCCCCCATTTGTGATAGCAATCTCGCAGATGAAGCAAATTTCGTTAATACAACCATCAAACAGGAAAGTACGACGATAATTTGTCTATCTCGTGAAACTCAAAAGAATGCGAAAAATTCACAATAAGACGATCGTTTATCTAAGTGATTCTATCTTTTAACTCAAACCAAGCAAAGAACACATTATCCATGAAAGATTAGAATTAAACAACAACCCACGCTAAGAATAGAAAGGAGACCATTCAATATATTAGATCAGTCACCATTCAATAGACTCAAGAAAGGTAGGAGCAAATAATGCTCAACTATGAAGGAATACTATTGATTAGTAATATTCATAACCAACCAAGATATGCTACACATACACTATCTCAAAATAATTATGCCAAAGCACAACTCATCCAACAAAAGTAGGGCAAACCCCACAATGGAACTCATGAACACACTCATCATGAAATTTGAACACCAAGCCAAAAGAAAGGCTTATCAATCAAACTACTAGAAGTAGTATGAAAATAAGAAGTTTTGTTTTAAAACAATTCTATCAAGAAGCATACTTGAAAAAGAACGGTTTCTGCAAGATCAAAAGATCCAAGACAAGATGAAAACTCTCTTGGTTAAATCATACTTGACACGAAAAATGGACACGCCATTTAACAAAAATTCCTCACAGGAAAAACTCTCAAAAGACACAACAAAAATGACCACTCAAGGGTGCTTTTGATTTTTGTCCAAGCCCCCTATTTGTAGGCTTAAATTTTCGGACAGCACCAAGAAAAGAAGATCAATTAGGACTCTCTAATCTTATCTCACAAGGAGTAGAAGTAGAAGAGTATTTGATCTCTTTGACTCTATCTAAAATCTAGGAAATCTTATCTAAATGACTTATCATCAATTAGGTTAATATCTAGAAGGAATCTAAGACTCCTGATCAAAACACTTTAGCTTTATTCAGCCCACATAGCTTATTTAACTAGATAAATTTTTGAAAATAACTCCTAGACTTAGAGAACCTCCAAATCTCGAAAATCAGCTCCAAATTATTGAAGTAAAATGTCTTGAACGCCCTTCTAAAAATGGAATATTGGTCTTGCGACGCTTAAGTTGTAGAAAACTCTAATTTACTCCAACACTTGTAGAATTCTCTTTATTGACTCCAAAAGATTGGAAAACACTTGAAACGATTTAGATAGTTTGCAACCTATCCAATTGTGTAGGAATGGACTCAATCTTGAGCACTTTGATCAAATAGGCTGTCCATTCAAGAACCTAAATGACTCATCTCACTAGCTTGATCAATGATCTTCATGGCGCACACAGAGTCAAACTCTCTTGATACTCTTGAGCACTTATTTCCATGAGGTCATCATCTTCTTTGGTTTGAACCCCAAAGTTAATGACATTCTCATCATCTTGATCATAGCTCACTTGAACCAACTTCCTATCACATATGTAGTCAAGATCCATCATTTCTTCCTTGATTGGCCTGCAAAGTAAACATGACAAGAAAAATGCCAATCTTATCAATTTATCCTCCCCAAATCAAGAATAACCTCAATCAACCTCTGCCTCCTACAATCTTAATCGATCCTCATTTTTTTTTTTTTTTTATTTTCTGCACTGAACTATGTTTGACAAAAAAAGAATGGAGAAAGAAGGTACAACGTTTTCTGTAAAAGGCCGATTGTGATTTCTTTTTCTTTTCCTATTTGTTGATGAATTTCAGCGAAAAGATTGGACATGAGATTGTTTACAGGAGCCCAAAGAACTATACACAGTGTTAATGTATTGATCACAAGAGCCTAAAGAACTATACACAGTGTTTATGTATTATCACCCATAGATCTATCCGAGTATTTATTAAAAAAATTCCAAACCTCCTGTTTTGTTAATGTACTACTCTTTTTTTTTAAAAAAAAAAATACAGAGACAAAGTATAGAACTTGCAATTGAGGATATTTGAGTGTGTCCCCATTATAACAAAAACCACATTCCTCCCAAAAATTCAAGTGTTCCATATTTGCTTAAAATTATATCTCATTATAGCAAATACCAAGTTTTGTCCAAAATTCCAAATGTCACATTATCCTCAAAAGTCTCCCAACCCAAAATAAAAAAAAAAACCCCAAAAAACAAAGAAAAAAAAGACGGCCACTATATAGTTTCCGAAAAATTTAAACTCCAAAAAAAAAAGTAAAGAAATAAAAAAACCATCTCCATTGTAATCTATCTATAATAACCCCCATTATAGCAAAAACTAAGTTTTGTCCAAAATTCCAAATGTCACATTATCCTCAAAAGTCTCCCAACCCAAAATTAAAAAAAAAAACCCCAAAAAACAAAGAAAAAAAAGACGGCCACTATATAGTTTCCCAAAAATAAAAACTCCTAAAAAAGAAAAACTAAACACAGAAAAAAAAAACCATCTCCATAGTAATAACCCCCATTATAGAAAAAACCAAGTTTTGTCCAAAATTCCAAATGTTACATTATCCTCACAAGTCTCCCAACCCAAAATAAAAAAAAAAACCCCAAAAAACAAAGAAAAAAAAGACGGCCACTATATAGTTTCCGAAAAATTTAAACTCCAAAAAAAAAAGTAAACAAATAAAAAAACCATCTCCATTGTAATCTATCTATAATAACCCCCATTATAGCAAAAACTAAGTTTTGTCCAAAATTCCAAATGTCACATTATCCTCAAAAGTCTCCCAACCCAAAATTAAAAAAAAAAACCCCAAAAAACAAAGAAAAAAAAGACGGCCACTATATAGTTTCCCAAAATAAAAACTCCTAAAAAGAAAAACTAAACACAGAAAAAAAAACCATCTCCATAGTAATAACCCCCATTATAGCAAAAACCAAGTTTTGTCCAAAATTCCAAATGTTACATTATCCTCACAAGTCTCCCAACCCAAAATAAAAAAAAAAACCCCCAAAAAACAAAGAAAAGAAAGATGGCCACTATATAGTTTACCAAAAATAAAAACTCCAAAAAAAGAGAAACTAAACTAAACAAAAAAAAAACCCATCTCCATAGTAATCTGGATTATTTGGTTAAACAAAAAAAAGCTAAAAAATCTCATGTTTTCTTTGGTTTTGATTATCTTCCATAACTCCGAATTTCTATCCAAATATTAACTTCGAATTCTTTAAATAAATTCAGCACTTCTAGAATAACAAGAAAATGCCAATCTTATCAATTTATCCTCCCCAAACCAAGAATAACTTCAATCAACCTCTACCTCCTACAATCTTAATCAATCCTCAATTTTATTTTATTTTTATTTTATGCACTATAGTCAGTTTGACAATAAAGAGTGGAGAAAAAAGGTACAATGTTTGTAAAAGGCCGATTGTGATTTCTTTTTCTTTTCCTATTTGATGATGATTGTCAGCGAAAAAATTAGACATGAGATAGTTCACGAGAGCCTAAAGAACTATACACAGTGTTAATGTATTCTCACCAATAGATCTATTCGAGTGTTTATAATTATAAGAAATGTTTTGTTAAAAAAAAAATTCCAAACCTCCTATTTTGTTAATGTACTATTTTTTTTAAAAAAAAATGCAGAGACAGAGTATAAACTTGCAATTGAGGATATTTGAGTGTGTCCCTATTATAACAAAAACTACATTCCTCCCAAAAATCCAAGTGTCAATATTTGCTTAAAATTCTCCTCACCAAATTTTCCAAATAAATCTAACAAAAAAAACGATTTAAAACAGGAATACTAAATTACCCTCAACATAAAATTTTGGCCAAATTTTAACAAAAATTCCAAGTGTCAATCTATTATTAAAAGTTTTCTGTACAATTCATTTACCCACAACAAAGGTTCAGATTAAAGAAAAGAAAAAAAAAACTGAATCAAAGATAACTCCCCCAATCCGCACTACACGTTCTTTCTCCGCAATAACAAAATTGAGTTAAATGCTCAAAATAACTTCCTCATTTTATTTTATCTTTCAAATTTCCACCTTCTAAAACTCCGTAAAACTTTTCAGCCAATTGCTTCCTCAAGCAACATAGAAAGAGAATGAATTTAGCAAAACATTAGTATTCTTAGACTTTTTATTCATTGGCATGTAACGGTAAGGATTTGATTTTCTTTCGTTTTCCAATTTTGATTTTATATCAATTATGATAATTGAATGTGAAATATGCTTTATTTGTGTTTTCAAAACTTTTGCAATGCAAGTTGCTTTTCTTAGTGGGCACTCCCACTTCTGTTTTAGTTGAAGAGGCAAATTCATGCTCACCTTCATTCAATACCACTAAAGAATCTGAAAAAAATAAATATTTTCTTTTGATCTTTCTTTTCTATTTTTAGTTCAAAAATCCGGAAAAGATTGAAACTTGATTTTGTTGCCGCTATACTACTTTTTGTTTTTTTTCTAATTTGTTGGAATATTGTTTGAAGTATGCAATGTTGTTGTTCAACTCAAAACTATTTTATGTGATGTTTCCAAATATATTTATTCGTTCTCAACTTTAATATGAAACTTGTTTTAAGATTTAAAATTATTCAAATTTAAACAAATGATAGTTTAGTAGGTACTCGAGCGAATGCACGATTTCTGAACCTAGTATGAATATATTGTACGTGCTCCTTTGCATCGATATAAGTAGCTACGATAGGAAACCGCCACGGCCCATGAACGATGCGTCTAAAATAAGCCACACAACCTGTTTCGAACTTAGATTCAGAATTGCAAGTGTTTCGTCGAGTCAAAAGTGGATTATAAGTGGTAACTCTTTCCTTTTCACATCCTCAATCGAATCATCAAAGTCGGTGACCTGTTGATCGATCCTTATATAAATCAATCTTAAGGACACAGACCCATCGATAATATCAAAGGTTTAGCACACAAACAGAAAAATTGTCAGATCGCAAGTAGGTCTTTTGTTCCTTAATTGGATCGCTCCGACGGGATTCGGAGTCATAGCAAGTAGCAGTCGTTAGTTGTTTTTGTCTCGGTAACCATTAATGGCTACCCGCGTTGATAATAACGATGTGGTGAGGTTGTTTCTTCAATTTTGCAAAGAGAATTCTTTGCATGAAACTTTCCAGACGCTACAAAGAGAGTGTCAGGTTTCTCTTAATGCCGTAGACAACCTCGAAAACTTTATTGCTGATATTAAAAGTGGAAGGTGGGATGCTGTGTTACACCAACTCTCGCAACTTGAGCAACCAACAAATTTGCTGCAAGATTTGTATGAACAGATTGTTCTGGAGATGGTTCAACTTGAGGAGAGGGACACTGCACGCGATCTATTATGCCAAACCCAAGTCCTGAGGGCCATGAAAACGGCGCAACCGAACGATTCTCGAGACTTGAACGTCTGCTTGATCAGCCAATTTTTGACCCCCGGGAGGTCTACCATGATCAGGAACATTCCAGTAATGAGAAAAGGCGTGCTGAAATTGCTCGAGCTCTTTCCTACCATGTCTCTTCGTTTCCACCTTCACGACTGAAGTGCCTTATTGGTGAGGCTTTGCTTTGGTATAGTCAACATCATTTACTTTTGTTCGAAACAAAGTTTGATTTCTTGAGAGGAAGACCTGCTATCATTCAAGATTCTGAAGATACGTGTCCTACTAGGCTTGTACATAGCATAGATTTTGCCAAGTATTGTCATCCGCTGTGTTGTCGGTTCTCACCGGATGGACAATTTCTTGTTTCCGGCTCAGCCGATGGATATATTTACGTTTGGAACCCCACAAAGGGGGAACTAGTCCAATTTGAATATCTCCAAGCTGATATAGAATTTATGACGCATGACGGTGTCCAGTGTCTCGATTTCAGTAAAAACTCTCAGATGCTTGCAACTGGTTCAAAAGATGGTTCAGTTAAGGCTTGGTCGATGTACACTGGTCATTGCTTCTGGATCATTCCGCGCGCACACTCTCAGGGTGTAAAAAGCGTTTCATTCTCCCGCACTGGCGCATACGTACTGACTGCATCCCTCGACGGCACTGCGAGAATCCATGATTTTTTGACAGTAAAACTGCTCAAGGAATTCCGCGGTCATACTTCTTTCGTGAACGACGCAAGATTTTCAAAGGACGACTCTCTGGTTATAACCGCATCCAGTGATTCCACAGTCAAGGTATGGGATGCTTGTAGTACTAAGTGTCTGCGGACTTTCAAGTGGGATGGTGCAACCGTGAATTCAATCCATCTTTTCCCGTCAACTCTCGATGACCACATCTTGGTCTGTAACAAAACTTCGTCGGTATATATCATGACGCTTCAAGGGCAGGTTGTGAAAAGCTTCTCATCTGATAAAAGAGAAGGTGGTGATTTTGTGGCTGCTTGTGTATCGTGTAAAGGAGATTACATTTACTGTCTTGGTGAAGACAGGAAGTTGTACTGCTTTAGCTATCAATCCGGGGAATTAGAGCATTTGTTACCAGTTCAGGAGGTGGAGGATGTGATCGGGATTGCACACCATCCCCATAGGAATCTTGTAGCCACTTTTGGTCAAGATTGCTTTATCAAACTATGGAAACCTTGAAGTGAGAGTTTTATCATTAAGTAATTCTTTTTTCTTTTTTCTTGCGGGGATAAAATTAACCTATGCAATGTTTTCTTCATTATTAGCATGGACATGGTCGGATACCTTTGCTACTTGCAAAGATAAAATTGAAACAATGAAATCCATACAAATTGAAATAAAAGATAGAATTCAAAGTGTAAAATAATTTTGAGACGAAATGAGTAATTTATTAATGATGGTGCAAAGAAACTCAAATATTTCTTATTCCTAGATTTATTCCCAAAACATAATCCACGAACATTTGAGGTTGTAATAAACTGTTGCTTTTAAATGATTATAAGTCAGGTAATGCATTTCAGTCCTCTTAAGAGTCCCGAGTTCCGGCCGATTCAATGAGTTTAACAGCAACAAATAATTTAACGAAATTCAGTTTATCATCTTATTTATTGCAAGCCGGTGGATTTTGACCTGAACCAAACAAAATTTCAATCAACACACGAAATTTCATTAATTTAAGAGTGTTAATGTGATTTCATGTATGCCATTTGCCATATATATGTTTGACTAAACTATCTCATTAGATAGTCTACGCCCTAAGCCAGCATAATAGAGGCGCAATAGAGGGCTTGGATTTCATACTTGCATTGTCTTTGTTTACGTAATTTGTCTGTCTGTTTTACATTAGTTTGAATTCAAATGAAACCCAACCCAATCTTGAGTAAATCTTCATACAGATCACTGTATCACGTCATCTCGTACATCTTATAAACAAAAATGGGAAAGGTAATATTTTTATGGGAGAGGGAAAATTCATGGGATCCAAAAACTAAATATTAATCCCTATTGGTTGGTTGCACTAAAAATGTAGATACAACTGATGTATATTAGATTTTCTCTCAATCTTGATGAGAATGAACATCTCAAATAAATATGGTGAGAACTTAACATATTTTCCATATTGTTTAAATAAAATAATACTCATTGGATCTAAAATGATATCATAGTTTGGACATTCTTTGTGTAAATTACGCTAAAAATAAAAATCTAAACTAGACAATAATTTTAGAACGGAGTAAGTAAATTTGATCACAAAATTCACCTATAATAATCAAGAAAGACAAAAATAATCACCAAAATATATAATGCAACAAAATAGCCCCACCTGTTTTTTCTTGTGCTATTTCCCTCCTTTTTTTTAACTACTTTTTCATAAACATAAAAATGTGTTGTATGGTCTTGAATGAGACATTGTTTATTTTAGTCTCTATTGTGCATTTGTGCACAATTGTAACTCATGTTTGTGTTCATTATATACACATATTTAAACTAATTTTTTTAAACATAATTTAGTAATATAGATAACATTTTGTAGTTCATTTTTCTCTTATCTAGGAAATACGAACATTGAACTTACCAATCAAATTTGCATTTTTTTTTTAAAAAAAGATTCAGTTCCGATAACGAAATAAGTTTTATTAATTAATATATTCTACTGTATACATCATGCAACGCCCTCCATGCCGGAGATATGGGAATCGACTACCTCCTCCGCTCACATCAAACCGCCAAGACAAAAGATCTCCCTTAACACCTTGGTCAATGTAAATGGCATCCTGGTCTTCTTTGATGGTGCGACAAACACGAGTAATAATTCCTGTGGAATCGGAATTCTAATATGGAACACCACCACTAGATTCCAAAAATGTCTTGCGAGGGGACTGTCATGTTTTTACACCTCAATAGTTATAGAACGCCTAACTGCTAGGAAGGAATTGCCTTCGCTCTAACACTAGGCCTCACTCGGATAACACCGGTGGGTGATTCCTCAACCATAATTCAAGGCTTAGACTGGGACATAGCAGGCTTATCAGATTCAAAATACATTCTGGCTAATATTAAAGTTCTGTCTGAAAATTTTCTAAGTTTTGACAGCCATTTAATTAGTCGTCGATTCAATCTTTATGCTCACTCCCTGGCCCAATGGGCAAAGCATGACCAATTTTGAAAAACATTGGGACATTGTGCCCCCATTTGTGATAGCAATCTCGCAGATGAAGCAAATTTCGTTAATACAACCATCAAACAGGAAAGTACGACGATAATTTGTCTATCTCGTGAAACTCAAAAGAATGCGAAAAATTCACAATAAGACGATCGTTTATCTAAGTGATTCTATCTTTTAACTCAAACCAAGCAAAGAACACATTATCCATGAAAGATTAGAATTAAACAACAACCCACGCTAAGAATAGAAAGGAGACCATTCAATATATTAGATCACCACCATTCAATAGACTCAAGAAAGGTAGGAGCAAATAATGCTCAACTATGAAGGAATACTATTGATTAGTAATATTCATAACCAACCAAGATATGCTACACATACACTATCTCAAAATAATTATGCCAAAGCACAACTCATCCAACAAAAGTAGGGCAAACCCCACAATGGAACTCATGAACACACTCATCATGAAATTTGAACACCAAGCCAAAAGAAAGGCTTATCAATCAAACTACTAGAAGTAGTATGAAAATAAGAAGTTTTGTTTTAAAACAATTCTATCAAGAAGCATACTTGAAAAAGAACGGTTTCTGCAAGATCAAAAGATCCAAGACAAGATGAAAACCCTCTTGGTTAAATCATACTTGACACGAAAAATGGACACGCCATTTAACAAAAATTCCTCACGGAAAAACTCTCAAAAGACACAACAAAAATGACCACTCAAGGGTGCTTTTGATTTTGTCCAAGCCCCTATTTGTAGGCTTAAATTTTCGGACAGCACCAAGAAAAGAAGATCAATTAGGACTCTCTAATCTTATCTCACAAGGAGTAGAAGTAGAAGAGTATTTGATCTCTTTGACTCTATCTAAAATCTAGGAAATCTTATCTAAATGACTTATCATCAATTAGGTTAATATCTAGAAGGAATCTAAGACTCCTGATCAAAACACTTTAGCTTTATTCAGCCCACATAGCTTATTTAACTAGATAAATTTTTGAAAATAACTCCTAGACTTAGAGAACCTCCAAATCTCGAAAATCAGCTCCAAATTATTGAAGTAAAATGTCTTGAACGCCCTTCTAAAAATGGAATATTGGTCTTGCGACGCTTAAGTTGTAGAAAACTCTAATTTACTCCAACACTTGTAGAATTCTCTTTATTGACTCCAAAAGATTGGAAAAACACTTGAAACGATTTAGATAGTTTGCAACCTATCCAATTGTGTAGGAATGGACTCAATCTTGAGCACTTTGATCAAATAGGCTGTCCATTCAAGAACCTAAATGACTCATCTCACTAGCTTGATCAATGATCTTCATGGCGCACACAGAGTCAAACTCTCTTGATACTCTTGAGCACTTATTTCCATGAGGTCATCATCTTCTTTGGTTTGAACCCCAAAGTTAATGACATTCTCATCATCTTGATCATAGCTCACTTGAACCAACTTCCTATCACATATGTAGTCAAGATCCATCATTTCTTCCTTGATTGGCCTGCAAAGTAAACATGACAAGAAAAATGCCAATCTTATCAATTTATCCTCCCAAATCAAGAATAACCTCAATCAACCTCTCGCCTCCTACAATCTTAATCGATCCTCATTTTTTTTTTTTTTTTATTTTCTGCACTGAACTATGTTTGACAAAAAAAGAATGGAGAAAGAAGGTACAACGTTTTCTGTAAAAGGCCGATTGTGATTTCTTTTTCTTTTCCTATTTGTTGATGAATTTCAGCGAAAAGATTGGACATGAGATTGTTTACAGAGCCCAAAGAACTATACACAGTGTTAATGTATTGATCACAAGAGCCTAAAGAACTATACACAGTGTTTATGTATTATCACCCATAGATCTATCCGAGTATTTATTAAAAAAATTCCAAACCTCCTGTTTTGTTAATGTACTACTCTTTTTTTTTAAAAAAAAAAATACAGAGACAAAGTATAGAACTTGCAATTGAGGATATTTGAGTGTGTCCCCATTATAACAAAAACCACATTCCTCCCAAAAATTCAAGTGTTCCATATTTGCTTAAAATTATATCTCATTATAGCAAATACCAAGTTTTGTCCAAAATTCCAAATGTCACATTATCCTCAAAAGTCTCCCAACCCAAAATAAAAAAAAAAACCCCCAAAAACAAAGAAAAAAAAGACGGCCACTATATAGTTTCCGAAAAATTTAAACTCCAAAAAAAAAAGTAAAGAAATAAAAAAACCATCTCCATTGTAATCTATCTATAATAACCCCCATTATAGCAAAAACTAAGTTTTGTCCAAAATTCCAAATGTCACATTATCCTCAAAAGTCTCCCAACCCAAAATTAAAAAAAAAAACCCCAAAAAACAAAGAAAAAAAAGACGGCCACTATATAGTTTCCCAAAAATAAAAACTCCTAAAAAAGAAAAACTAAACACAGAAAAAAAAACCATCTCCATAGTAATAACCCCCATTATAGCAAAAACCAAGTTTTGTCCAAAATTCCAAATGTTACATTATCCTCACAAGTCTCCCAACCCAAAATAAAAAAAAAAACCCCCAAAAAACAAAGAAAAGAAAGATGGCCACTATATAGTTTACCAAAAATAAAAACTCCAAAAAAAGAGAAACTAAACTAAACAAAAAAAAAACCCATCTCCATAGTAATCTGGATTATTTGGTTAAACAAAAAAAAGCTAAAAAATCTCATGTTTTCTTTGGTTTTGATTATCTTCCATAACTCCGAATTTCTATCCAAATATTAACTTCGAATTCTTTAAATAAATTCAGCACTTCTAGAATAACAAGAAAATGCCAATCTTATCAATTTATCCTCCCCAAACCAAGAATAACTTCAATCAACCTCTACCTCCTACAATCTTAATCAATCCTCAATTTTATTTTATTTTTATTTTATGCACTATAGTCAGTTTGACAATAAAGAGTGGAGAAAAAAGGTACAATGTTTGTAAAAGGCCGATTGTGATTTCTTTTTCTTTTCCTATTTGATGATGATTGTCAGCGAAAA